AATACTACGTTAGGGTGAAGAAAGTTGAGTGCTCTGTGACTATAATTGTGACTTAGCAATGACTAATTAGTGGTATTTAATAACCTGCTTAAGAAGTTCAGACCTTTAAAATACCCAAGATTTTACTTTTTTCACAGAGGCAGCGCAATTTCCAAGAGAAAAAATATAGTTCCTGATCAAGGTCCTTCAGAAACATATTTTTCCTTTCCCGGGTCTAATCTGGATAGAGAAAAGAACCGGAATGCGGGCCTGCATTAGTGGGCCGAGGAAGAACAGGAAGAACATGAAAACAGACGTCTCGGTGAGGTCGAAGTTTGGCTGACTGGCACAAAATCACAGCTGGATAGGAGGAATGAGTTTTAGCGCGCCATAGTACTCTGGGGTAAATGGGGGTAGCAACAATCTATTGTAAATTTCAAAAAAGCTAAAAGAGAGGATTTTGCATGTTCCCAACACAAAGAAATGAGAAATGCTTGAAGTGATGGACAAGCTAATTATCCTGACTTGATCACTACACATTGGCTCCATGTATCAAAACATTACTTGGCACCCTAAAAATATGTACAGTTACTACCTGCCAGCCGAAGTAAAAGGGAAACAAGGATGGGTGTCAGGAAATTAGCGTGTTGGCGCCAAGATGAGAGAAGAAACTTTGCTGTTGTGAGGACCGAGTGAGATTAGCTACACACAGCAGGCCGAGGAGACAGAACAGGCGGGGCTCCCGCTAGGAGGGCTGGACTTAAGTCCTTACCCTGCTTATTTCTGGCTGTGTGACGCTGTGAATGTTACTTCTGTTCCTTAAATCTCTGTTTCTTCCTCAAGGAGCCGTGCAGATAAAAGGAGATAATAGATGGGGAGTACTTCGTACCTAGCAAGTGTTCAGATGCTAATTATGATTATCCATCATTTTTAATTTCCCCAAATCTTGCTACTTATAACCCCAGTATGCCCCATTCTCTTTTCCTATTTTATTTTTCTATAGAACTCATTACCATCTCCAAACTCTACATTTTATACTGATCTTCTTATTTTTAAGCTCCCACGTTAGACTATCACCTCCGGGGTGACTGGGCTTTTTTCTGCTTTGTTCCTTGCTGGGGAGTGTCCAGGAAAGCATGACAGTAGGTGCCCAATCAACATCTGTTGAGTGAAAGAATCATAACTTCATGTAGTCCCTGGTGTACAAAAAGGGTGACAGATGGTTAGCTATGAAATAGCCAAAATGACACTTGCCAGTGGGAACTATTTCCAGGGTGTGGCTAGAGGTGTGGATGACTGAGTAGAGTGGAGGCAAAGTTTGATGGAGCAGAGGAAGTTGAAGCCCTGGACCTGGTGTTGGGTGGTCATGCATGTGGATCGACGCCACAGGAAGCTGCTGTGAAGTGAGGAGGAGCAGAGGAGGCAAAGGAAGTGGCCAGCATCTTGCAGCCTGGAGATACATGCAGAGGACTGCTCTGAGACCAGCTGTTAACAGCAGTAAGGATGAGGAGGGTGGAACGACCAGGTGCGCCTCTAGACCACCAAGGAGGTTTCAGAAGTAGCAATAAGTAGTGCTGGGAGAATCCCAACACTGCCTCCCAGTTCCATGACATGCCATCCACGGAAGATCCGAGGACTTGTCCTAGAGAGCCCTGCAAGAGGAGTGACAGTCCCTGGAAAGACCTGGAATTCTGTTAAGGAAACCTCTGGGCGAGGCCAGCCGAGGAACTGAAAATGTAGGGATGGGTGCTGCTCAGGATGTGACATTCCTGGTGGGAATGAGGGGAGGGGGAGCAGTGAGCAGGAACACAGAGCAGGCCAGGGATGAGAGTGTGTGAGAGGAAAGAGGCCGTAGGGACAGGCAGACACGGGATGCTGACGCAAGGTCACTCAAGAACTTGTGATGGCAGATTTGCTTGTTTTTCACAACCACATACAACACGATTCTGAAGGCGAAAAAGCCAACCAAGGAGAGGGACAGCACATTTCCTGGGAGCATCTTGATGTGAAAACACCCTAGGGAATTGTTCAAATATCTAATAGCCACATCTTCGATTTGTCATGGAAATATCTTGCCATCCTACCTCAGAATACTTGACAGATTCAATAAGAAGTACCCTTGAATGAATGTAAAAGGTCATTGCCATTTGTAACCTTTACTTTATTTATTTATTTATTTATTTATAAGAACGCAGGATTTATTGAGAGGACAGAAAAGTTTCCACGGTGGGAGGGGACCCGAAGGGGTTGCCCACCTTTACTTTTTTTTAAAAGGCCGCAGCTTAAAATAAATAGGTTAGGATTCTAGTGAAGCTGCTTATAAAAGTAAAACATTCAGAAAAGCTTTGGGATTCTTTTGAGTAGTACCACTGTCAAATACTTTTCTATCTCTCTTGTTAAATTTTTAAGTGTGAAGCACTTCATGTTATCGCCAAATAAACTCATACGCTGATATTTATTACTTAATTGACTGGTTGTTTGGTGGATCAAACATTGAATAAGTGACTATAATGTCCAAAGCACTGTGAGAACAAAATGATAAATAAGGCACATTAGGGGCTTGAACGCCACAAAAACATGGTTCAGAAGTCAGTAAGTCGTCATCGAGAAGCTCTTTAGAAAAGGTGGCTATTTTGTTATGGGAATCTTTCTTCCTCTTCTACACTTCCTGAATGAAAGACTGAAGATGATGATAATTAATATTAACAGTAATAAATGTGGAAAAACCCAGCACGCCCTACAATCACATTAGAAGTGCTATTCAATAAAACATGTTGGATGAAAGTCTTTTTGGAGTATAAAAATTTAAGTGGGGGCACTACTCTCAAGGTAAATTAAAATGTCACCATTTCTATGTCATTTTACCCTTAGAGCAGAAAATAAAAAAGAATCCATCCAGGTTGCAAATACCTGAAACTAATACACATAAATGATGACTACACACCTGATATTGTCAAAATGATGAAAACATGGCCATACTTGTTCAGGTGGCAACATGTCATTTTTAGTTTCTTCTAAGGTGCTCCTTAAAGTATATTTTGAAATATACTTTTATCTGCATAGACATGTCTCAGGGAGATAAACAGTTGACATACACATTCATGATACAACTGTTCACACATCCCCTCAGGAAGGCTCCTCTATAAGACTGACATATATATATATACATTCATGGCATAGTTGCTCACCCATCCCCTCAGGAAGGCTCGTCTATGCTCAGACTTGAACAAAGTCCAAGATAAAGGATGCACGGTGCCAGAGATTTCAATCCATTTCTATCAAAACGAAAGCATGCACGACTTCTCTTGGTCCAGATTGAGATGCTTAAGGAATCTGGATCTTACGAATGAGAATGACCATGCTACCACCTTTAGATACCCAGAAAACTACTGACAAATACGTCTTTATAAAATATGTTATTCCACATATTTATTTATACTTGTTTTTCTTTGGTAATATAGATATTTAAAAAAACAAACCAACCAACGATCAAAAATGTCTCTAGGTTGGTTTTTTTTCCAAAAAGGTCCCTCTTACTGTGAAGAGATGCCCGATAGAGCAAACAAACCAACACATACTCTAGCCAAAATAAACAGCAGCAACAAAAAATTGTCTGAGTTTTTTGTAGCCGCTTCTTTTGAGAGGTGCTGGTTAGTAAAAAGACAACTGGGCACTTTTAAATTCTTCCTGATTCAAAGAGAAAGTTTAGGCCACAAGCTCCTGGACTCTGCATCTTGGCTGTTGCAGAGAAATGACCTGAAGCGAGGAAGACTTTGACTTCACAAAAAGAATACACACCCTCTCCTGGAGACTGCCTATCTGCCTGTCCTCTCCCTAAGCCAGGACAAGACATCAAAATATTTGAAAAGTTTGAAATCATATCCTCTTTCCAGACGTCATCTAAGCTACTTCAAGCTAAGAACGTCCATCTCTAGGACCACTTGTGAGCAATGTTCACTGTTGAGAGAAAAAAGCCACAACCATACAAAATATTTATGTTTACCAGCCATTCTGATTTTAAAAATTGCATTAAAGCACACACCCAAGTCAGAAAAATTCTTTTTGTTGCCTTGAAACACAAAGGCGAATTCAATATTTAGATTCAATTCTAGAGTAGAATTTTTTTGGGCCAACTTTTGATGCTGGGATAAATTTAGCTATTTAAAATCCTAGAAAGTAGGGGCTTATGTGATAAATCTTTATGTGCAAGATGGCACATTAATTAAATTAAATTATTTAATCTTTTCCCCGCCATTAGTTTAAATGGGTCATTTAATCAAATGCCTGGCCTGTTAAGATGATTTAGAATGTAAATATAAAACAGAGGAATGCTAATATTTAATGCAGAATATAATAAATGATCAAACATTGAGGTTAGAGTTACATTATATTTATGCATATTTTCCTTAATCTTCTAAGGTGACAAGTCCAGTAATAGTTGTCCATCTCACTACACTCTTTCCAATCACAATTTCAAGAGATGAAAATCAAACTTACTAAAATATTTCTTTTTACTTTTCCCTATCTTTCTGATATCTTGTACAGTATTCCTCACCATAAGAATATATATGCATATTTACATCTTACAATAATGGACATTATACCTAAAATATTAACTATCCAGAACAAAATCAAATGCCAATACCAACCAAAAATATCCTTATATTTGCTGTTTTGCATTTGCAAAAGAGTTAGGAAAGAGCCCTGGTTGACAGAGTTAAGTTCCTTGGCCAAAGAAAGGTGTGTTTTGTTTTGTTTTTATCAATTGACCACAATGAATGAAGTCACCGATATTAACTGCAAATGAGCTTTCATTTTTTATACGAAAAAATCGAAGATCACATACAAACCAAATTCACGTATCATTTTCTTTAGTATTTAATATTTGCGAAGTAGCCATAGCATTTTCATCTAGAAAGTGGGACCAGAACTTCGGAAGAGAACTGGGATTTGGCAGTGCAGCTGGGGAAGTAAGGATGAGGCAGTCTAAATTAGAATCTGGTATGCTATGCACTACTTACCTTCAAAAGTCAAATAAAACTTTCCTCTGTCAAACCAAACGAGGGAAGGCTGTTCATTCTCTGTATGGCCAGGAGTTGAAGCGGGATGGGAAGGGTTAAGGAGGGGGAGAGAGAAGGACACAACGTGAGTTACAGAGCAGGTCATTAATCTCGCTACGGGGTGGGGGGAGGCACTACATGCCGTTAGCGTGCAGGAAGGAGGGAAGGCTGGCAATCTATGCTTTTTTTTTCTTAGTTCAGGGAACAAAAAGCAAAAGCGAAGCTATGGAGGCCTAAAGGAATGGGCACGTGTTGTTGGTGGCTTGATACTCGGTGCTTGTGTGCATGGAGTGGAAGTCTTCCTGGCCATGCAGGGGCGTCAGCATATTTTAACTGCACTACTTTGGGCAAAGTGTCATTCAGCAATTGCTGTATCCATTTCATCTTCAATGTCATCCCCTTCTATGTTTCCAGAAAGGTAAAGTTGGAGTTAAGGGTTGTATAAAACATTAGCTTAGATCTTAAATGACAACAACATTGCATATCAATTTAAAGTTTCAGGAAGATGCCATCTATCTTCCGTCCCCTCCCCTGGAACCACCTTAGGCATCCAGACACAAAGAAAAAGCAAGATGTACCAAAGAAAAAGCGAGATTACTAACGTTGCTCTGCTATTTTCTAAATTGAAAAGCAGTGACCGGACATGTAATTCTGAGCAGTTAAATTATTCCTTCCTTTGTAAATTCACAAAGCAGTAGCATCTCACCTTTTTTGAACCTTTTCACTGATAAACTGTCATGCAACCTGCTGCTTTTTAATATATTCATTTAAAAAATTTCAGTGGCATGAGTTCCACAATGAACAGTAAAACACCGGGTGCATCTGAGAGGCACTGGACACTCATGAGGTGAGGAGCATGTCCATGAAGTTACAGCATTCAGATGAATAATGGTTTGGATTTTTGAAATCTAGGTATCTAAAGATCACTGGGCTAGCACCATACCTGCAGGCGTTTCACAGCGCCTTTCAAACGAGGGCAGTTTGTCATAAAAAACATCATCTTCTGACACTAAGAACCAAAGAAACATAAACGAATGGAAAACAAAAACACAAATACAAATCCCAAATGAAATCGATCAGCCCATTTTACTGAGTAAAACACAAGAACGATTTTAATGAAAAAAGAAAACAAAACTTAAAACACCGGGAAGATGATCACAATATTAAAAAGTGATGTGCTTATTTTATGATGATTCTATGAGAAGAAATTAACATGTTAAAAATGGTAGGTCTTAGCATCTGTGAAGTTGGCTGAAGTCAGCTCCAGGGAAGAAGTCACGCTCCACCTTCTCAGGGAGTTGTTAAAGGAATTGTCATTAATAATTGACTTTTGCAAGTGTGTTTCACTCCAACACGATTCTCAAGTAGCCAGACATATGTCCATCAACAAGAACCTCTGATAGAGTCCTGGCAGCTCGATAGGATTACCCAGCATGCACCTTTTCCTCATGGGGAAAGCAGATGCTTTTAACGTGACCACAAAAAAGTAACCATATAAATTCAAGGTCCCTGCACGAACTGCTCCATTTCACATTCATTGGCATCCAAATTCAGTTTGCCTTGCACTTGCCTGCACTTGCTTTGATAGTATGGACTGTTAATTTTGAACAGCATAATCATAATTTCATCTTTGTCTATGGTATCCAGCTGTGGCTAGATGTCTTTGTACTTTGGTCACAACATCATGAATTGATGCTCTGGGTTTCAACCGGTTCAGCTCTTTTCAAGGTCTTTCTTCTCCCCAACTAGCGAATGCAAGTAATTGGGATTTTTATTCTACGTGATTTTAAAAAGTATTCAACACTGCAGGTCTCAAGGGTATTGTCACAACTTTAATAGAAAATTGAATAAAACCTGTAAAGACCAGTAAGGAGGAACAATGTAGAGAAGATAAGGAAATAGATGAGGGTAGAAAAAATACTTTACAAACAAGAATGTTCCTAGGAAAATATTCTATTAGAGTGCCTCCTAGATTTAGGGAGTAAAGCAGGGAAACTACTTTTTTGTGTCAATTTTTTAGACTTTAAGGTATCACCTGTCAATCACAGTTTTTAATTATATGAGGGGGACCCCAAAAAACCTAGGATTTATTTATTAAAAATTGTGTATTTATTCTTACGTGTTTAAGCTTCGGTCACCTTCAAAGTACTCTCTGTTTGATGCAATACACTTATCGAGACACTTTTTTCATGGTTCAAGACAGTTTTGAACTTATCCATTTTGATGCCTTTTAGTGCTTCTGTCCTTTTTTGTTTCAGTCTTCCACACTGGCAAAACATTTCCCACTGAGGACTTTTTTCATCCAGGGGAACAACAAAAAAAAGTCACCCGGGGCAAGAGCGGGTGAACAGGGAGATTGGGGCACAGGAGTCATGCTGTTTGGGGTCAAAAACTGCTGAACACGCAGCGCAGCTTGGGCAGGTGCGCTTGTAAATCACCCATGATGAAATAGGCAATGCCTTGAAAGAATCTCCTCCCCCTACACCCGCCAAAAAAAAATTCACTGAAGCCAAATACAGCCTCTCACAACACTAGCAGGTCCAGCTGATGCGGATGGGTTCCTAGAACACTTACCTAGTGGGGGAAGCCTGTTCTACAAGGGACCTGCCCTCCAAAAGATGATTCCGGATTTTTTTTTTTTTTTTTGGCACATTCCCCTCATACATGTGTGTCTTCCATGGTGGCTAAAACAGTTAACGCAACTCCTATATTTCTGGGAGTACTGGAAAAAGGACTTTCTGACAAAATAACATAAAAAGAAAAAGACTAAAATGAAATGTGGGAATTTTTTTTTCTTGAGATCTGGACAATCCACCTCCAAAGTTCTACCTTTCTTTTTATGCAGAATAACTGGCACTGATACAGGTATGTTTTAGAAACCTTATGCAATTTAGAATCGCCACCTAGCTTGGGGAGAAAAAAGCGTGAGCAAATACTTTATGTTTTATAATAGAAACTACAGTTTCGCTACTGAATACACATTACTTTTGTTCAAAGTTCTGGACCAAAGGAAGCATTAAAATCCACCTGATACTTCCTTTGGTGCTTGTAAATGATTTTTTGTATTCATTACAGATTACTGGGAAGCAAAGGTGCAATTTAAAATGCATAATTATCAGTGAAGGAATATACTTAACAGTGAAGACAAATTGTCTTTATGGTGGTCTTTTTGCAGTAGATCCTCAGGAAGATTTTTGCAAACACTTTTAAAAACCTACTACCACCCACAGAAATAAGAACAAGCAACACAAATGGATTTTATAATTAGAGATAACTCCTTATTATCTCTATTGTTATCTATCTTGAACTGTCAAGGAATTTGCTTCCTATAATAGAATAATTTCAAGCAATCTTCCTATCCTTCTAATATTAATAGGACTTTCTACAAAACCATGTAACATAGGTCCTGTGAACTCTCTCCAGTGCGAAAACACTTTACTGTATTTCTTCAATTTAAAAAATTATTTTAAAAAATTGTGACAAGGTCTCAATACATTACCTAGGCTGGTCTGGAACTCCAACAATCCTCCTACTTCAGCCTCTGGAGTAGCTGAGATTTTATAGGAGCGTGCCACCAAGCTAGGCTAATTGATTCTGATATGTGTACTGCCTTACATTCTAATCTGTCTGGAATAATTGATGTGATAAAAAAGCATTTCCTTTTAGTCCAATTGGCAGCTTTTCCCACCTTTCTTAAGCATATAGAAGGTAATGGTACATTTTTAAATGAAAGGTGTCTTAAATGAAATACAGCTGTGTAGGACCTCCGTATTATTTGAATGTGGCAATACACATACAGTCTTTTTTTTTTTGGAGCCATAGTTTCACTTTGTCACCCAGACTGGAGTGCAGTGGCACGATCACAGCTACCGCCGCCTTGACCTACTGGGCAATCCTTTTTCCTTAGCCTTCCAAGTAGCTGGAACCATAGGTGTGTACCACCATGCCCAGCTACTCTTTTAATTTATTGTAGAGACGAGGTCTCCACATTGCCCAGGCTGGTCTCGAACCCCTGAGCTCAGACAATCGTCTTGCCTTCGCCTCTCAAAGTGCTGAGATGACAGGCATGAGCCTGGCCTAATACACATAGAGTCTTGTTTTCAGCTGTGGCATCAGATTTACTATTTTATAATCACAGCTCTCATGGAAGATTTCATATCCAAAGTCTTCTAGGTGCACTTTCTTATATGAATGGCTGTGTAGAAAATTTAAACTTGCTCTTAAAAATTTGGTTCTTGAATTACTTTAAACTTGGCTTACGGGTCCCCACTATACTTGACCCAATTTTGGCTCAAGCACCCTAGGACATGCCAAAAAAATCTTGTGGGGATGGGAGGAAAATGTGGAGCCATTAACTCCAGGGAGTTTGCTGCTAAAATTCTCTCCCTCTCCCAAACCAGTTAACTACACTGAGTTGACATTCCAAGTCTGTCATGACCAGGCCCCTTTGGTGTTGAACAGCCAAAGCACAGCCTCTCCAGAGAGGAACAGCCATGCACACAAAGCGTTTGAACAGTCAGCTACCTGACAAGGTTTTTACTCTGGGAGAAAACACAGAACTGGAGCATAAGGAATTGGACAGGAGGGCTAACCAAATAAAAGTAAACCAAATAAAAATAACCGAACCAAACAGATTAAATCAGTGTGCTCCTCAGCAATGAAGCAATTTATCCTCAGCAATGAAGCAATTTGTCCTCTTATGTGGCTACTTTTTAAGATAAACCCTTCTGTGGTTCATCTTGAAAGAACCCATACCAGATGGGTCAAGAATAAAAGTCGCTGTCCAGGGTTTGAGATTTCTGCAGCAGGAGAATAGAAACGTTGTACAAAGCCTGAACACAATTTAGTTTTCTCTAGGAATCACAGTGGGTTGAAAAAACATGATAGATGGTTCATTCAAGGACACTTGGGGTCAGCTTTCTGAGTGACAGTTAACTCTTTTATTTTAAATTAGTCATCATTATTAATATTATTATTATTTTTGTTAAAGATAGGGTCTTGCCCTGTCATTCAGGCTCGAGTACAATGGTGTGATCATGGCTTACTGCAGCCTCGAACTCCTGGCCGCAAGTGATCCTCCCTGCCTCCGCTTCTCAAGTAGCTGGGACCACAGGCATACGCCACCATGCCCAGTTAATTTTCTTTTTTTTTGTAGAGGTAGGGTCTTGCTATGTTGCCCAGACTGCTCTTGACTCCTGGCCTCAGCTGATCTTTCTGACTCAGCCTCCCAAAGTGCTGGGATTACGGGCACGAGCCACTGGGCCTGGCCCCACAGTTCACTCTTACTTTCCTCTCTGACCAACAAGGCAGATCACATGGAGGGGGTGAAACAAATAATCTTGAGGGGGGAAAAAATCCAAAGGGGCAGAGTGAAGAACGGCTGAAGCAATCAAAGAAGCACGAAGGGGCATAGAGTTAAAAAAAACAGATAAGCGTTACAACAAAATGTGAACAAGCAAACCAGGTAGAAATGACCTACTGGGTGCTGACAGATCGGAAGTCCCAAATTTCCCCAGCTGATGGAGTAGACAAGGCACAAACTCGCCTATATAAAAAATGTGGAACGTCTGTCTGTTAACACATTACACAGAACTGGAAAACTGGCTCTATTTTCACCAAACTGAAGGGGTTCTTTTGGGACAGTCCGATGGAAAATATAGAGCACGTGAAATTGTTCACGTTCCCTGTTCTCTGGGAAAACAGGCAGTTCTTTCTCCAGAAGAGCTTTAGGCTTCCATCCAAGCTGCTTCTCACTTGGGCGACTCTGCAGTTGCCCTTCCAGCAGTAGCAGCAGGGATTTATTTAGTTTTGGCTAATTACTGCTCCAAGCAATATGGGATGGGTCAGCTGGTTTATACTATGGAAGAGTCGGAGGGGAGTTCAGACCACAAAAGAAGATAGTAGGGCTTGAGGCTGGCATGGGAAAAATGGAATAAAAAAGCCCGAGGTCAGAGACACCATGCAAAAAAATCGAGAGAGGCAGCAGGGGCCCAGGGAGGGGAAGAAAGAGAGACCAGCTTTGGAAAGAGGGAAGACGCCCCAGGCAAAACCAGGCATTTAAACCCAGGAAAGCCATCCTCCTGGCCACTCTCAACAAGTCACTTTCATTGCAGTAGAAGGAAAGAGGCACAAAAGCATCCATTGAATTTGCCAGCAATGACTTATTTCTTTGGAAAAGTCACTCATTACTGAAAAGCACTTGGAAAAAACAAACCTCTAAAAGTTTGCTCAAGTCCCACAATGCCAACGATGATACCATTTGTCAACATAAGGACAACCAAAACTGATGAAGGAATGAAAGCTTCAAGAAAACAAAGGTTCTAAATTTTGTGATTCCTGATGTGGTACATGGTTGGAATTTAAATAAACATTTCCCCTCAAAGGAGACTATTATTATTATAAGAAATAATATCTAAATTATAAGACCTTCCCTGGTGATTTCTCCTTCATGCTTTTGAATAGCTCTGTATGGAATAGCATAAGAGAATGCCTGTAAAACACAGGTGTTAATGTCCCTTTATTAGCTTAGGCAAAGCACTTTGCCTCCTTTGCTGAGAAGGTGGTTTCAAAAGAGTCAGGTGGCAGTAGTGAAACACACAGCAAAACAATTTCGACCAGAAACACAGGGCCTTGGAGAGTTCAGATCCCCCAAAACAGCCAGTCAGAACCACAAACAGATGAAAAGACAGGAGATAATTTTTACCAACTGTGGGAGTGGTGGCTGCACTCAGGGAATTGGTCGATGAGATTGAAGAGGTGCTTTCAGCCCGCGCAAGGGGTGCTATTGGAGGAGGGCTGGAAGAATGGATGGGAGGGCTGAAAGGTCTAGACTGCAGGGAGAAAAAAAGAGAGTGTTAGACACACAGGTTGCATGCAGCGTTTTTGTTCCATGTTTTTACAGTCTCCCAGGCCTTGATAAGACAACCCAGTTTCTTTTCTTTCTGTTTTTTTCTTGAGTTGGAGTCTCACTCTGTTGCCCGGGGCTGGAGGGCAGTGGCATGCTCACAGCCACCCCAGCATCCATTGGCTGGGCTCTGGCAATCCTTCGGCCTCAGCCTTCCAAGTAGCCGGAACTACAGGTGTGTGCTACCATGCCTGGTTAATTTTTTGATTTATTGTAGAGACAAGGTCTCGCCAAGTTGCCCGGGCTGGACTCGAACCTGCGGACTCAGGCAATCCACTCACCTCAGCCTCCCAAAGTGCTGGGATGACAGGCTGAGGCTACCGAGCCCGGCCATAACTCAGGTTCTTGAAAGAGGGCAGATGACATAATTTTTACCCTGAAATTAATTCTACTTTACAGGAGCTTGTGTGGTGGAGCTGGAGAAGCCATAAATCATAACATGCTAAACTCACAACCTGCATCAGGTTGTTTCAGGTCTGTGAACTCACTGTCCTCAGGGATTCAGCAGGTAACACAGCTCGAGAGCTCTGTTCAGCCAAGTCAAATAGTAAGGACATCATCAGTTTGTGACTCTGGTGCGCAAATGCCAAAGAAATCTACCTCCACCACAAGTCTCTTAATTGTTCACCCAGAACATTTTCCACCCCTCTTAAAACACAATCCAAGAAACTTCTGCAACAAATTCATCAGGTCACTGCTCTCCTTCTGATGTTCACATAGTGTGCCTACCACCAATAACTTATCTGTTTTCTGGGGTCAGAAACCAAGATCTGCCCTCTCTTGGAGTTTTCTAAAAATCAGACAAATATTGTGAAGCACCTCCCTTTCAAAAGGATTTAGGACAACTGAATATGACCATCTTTATTTACGTCCAACTGTCCTATTCTGTCATTTTACCCCTGGTTTCAAAGACGGTAGAGATTTGAGGCGGGCTGAATGTATACCCACAAGGTAGCAACTTCCAGATGCTACCTGTAAGGGTCATTTGTACAAACGTAGACGCTATGACCTGAAGTTGAGATGTCCTGTGCTAAGGCATTCTCACCATCTGGTGCCAAGCAAGCCAGGGCAGAGGGCAACATACCACATCTCCGACTCCAGGCTTTCCCGGAGGTAGCTTTGGCCGAGACGGAGGCCGGGGAGGAGGTGGGGGTGGAGTGGTGCTGCTGCTAGGAACCAGAGGAGTGGCCGGTCGAGCTGGGGAGGACGCACCTGAAAAACAAGCGGGTGTTGAAAACGGCTGGAAACACAGGGGGCCAAAGCTTTCGTCAGGGCACAACACCAGTCCCGGATACTTTTTTTCACCCTGGCAATGACTATACCGGACACTGTAGCACGTGGGGTTTTTTTCTTTCTCAATAAAGAAAAAAAAGTTGTTGAACTATGGTTGATAGCAGAAGCTGAAGCTCATTGCCTTTTGTTGTCATGTGACACCCAGTGAAAGGTAAATCCTTTTATGACTCTATCAGTGACAGAAGGTAAATTCTCAAGACTCTTGGTGGGGTGGCAGGTACCTGTCATCGCGATCACATACACACTCAACTTATGATAAATTCTCTTGTTTTGTGCACGTATTTAGAATTTGTTTATGTCCAGGATGAAAATGAAAGTTAGAACTTGAAGGAGGGTGAATGATTTTTCCACATTAGATTTTTCTTTTTTAGACGTACATAAAAGATTTATGCTTTTGACTGTCTGTCAAAATATGAGTGCTAACTTCATCAATGTACCCAAACACTTGATGTTAAGCAAAGAGCAAAATATAAGAAAGCAAATTAGATACGAGTACTTTGTATTTAGAACTTTTTTTTCCCCCTGAATTGGGGCCTCTTTCTGTTGCCCAGGCTGAGTACAGTGGTACGATCACAGCCTCAACTTCTTGGGCTCAGGCGATCCTCCTATCTCAGCTTCCGGAGTAACTGGGACTACAGGAACGTGTCACCATGCCCACGTAATTTTTGTGTGTGACTTTTTGTAGAGACAAGGTCTCACTATGTTGCCTAGGCTGGTCTTGAACTCCTGGGCTCAAGTGATCCTCCTGCCTTGGCCTCGCAAAGTGCTGGAATTACCAGGCATGAGCCACTGTGCCCAGCTACATTTAGAATCTTAACAGAAACACACTGAATTTTGAGGATTTTATTTTGTGAAGGAGACTGCTCTGGAATCTTGTCACTGTAGAGTTTGCTCATGATGATTTTTATGATGATTTTTAGAAGAGCTCCTGGATTTACTTTTCTGGCTGTCAATGGCAAGCATGTGAAACACACACACACTGAGGCTGGCATGCACACCAATCAGCACACCAGAGGGGTCTCTGGACTTGGGGGTCTGGCTTTCGTCTGCCATGTCTGAGATACAAGGAAAAACTACTTGGCTAAGAACCTTTAGAAAGTCACTTCAGTATTCAAAAAAGATCTTGTTTAGCAAAGTTCCAACTACTCCTGAGGTCTTGTCACTTTGGTATGAAACACAAGTATCAAATCATTCCAAGAAAGTTCTAAAAAATCCTGCCCCAGGATGATATCCAAACTCGACCTGCAACACATGCCACCCCCATGCTACCTCCCCCGCCAACACAGGACAAAACTGTGATGTCTGGAGAGTCCCAGAGTAGCATCTCAGTCTCCAGATTTTCAGACTCTCAAAGAGCTTTGAACTTGAACATCAAAATCCACTGTCTCATGAATCTGTCCTGTTTTAGGAAAGTCCCAGGGGTGGGGGGGTTAAACCTTGATCCTCTCATTGAAACAATCTGAAACCATAAATGCATTTCTCTGTACTGTTTATTCTAAGTGTAATCACATTAGTGTGAAACGATACCAATCTTTACCTCCACTTCTTCCACCACTACCACCTCCTGGATTTTTATTTTTACTGTATTCTTACTTTTTATTTTATAGGGTCAGGGGCTGTGGTAGGCACTCTACTTGTGCTATCCCCAATAGGCTTTGGAGGTACATATTGTTCAATCTCCAGGGAAACTGAAGCTCAGAGACAGTAACCTGTTCAAGGACACACAGCTCAAATCATGTATCTCTAAAGCTCTGAAATGCAATCTCTTGCAACTTTAGCGGGGCTGTGGGGTGGATTCCCACATTTTGCATAGAGTCTGTTCTTATTTTTGCATGGTTGGCTTGCACACATCTCTCTTAATATAAATGTTCTTAGTCTTTGATCAATCTTTTTTTTTTTTAATAAAATGCTACACAAAAGAAGGGCAAGAGATGTTGATGATGATGATAAAGATTGGACCTTTGGTACAAACACAACTACAAACTAAAGAAAAAAACATCAATTATTAATTGCAAAGTTAATGTTTTTCCTTTTTCTTTACGGATGCCCAGTTTAAATTACTTTTTCTTTGCTGAATTAATATAATTGATGTGCAGTTAGAAAGCCACAAAGAGGGTGTATGTAAAGCAAAAGAACATTTCCATTAAAATGAATTGTGACTACTGTATCTAAGAACTGACTTTTCATATTAATTTTAAGTTATTACAATTATAAAATAGCCACAATTAATAAAATAGTACTAGGGACTCCTATTTTGGACATGGCTGCTCTGGAAGACTGGTAGTTAGGAAATGTATTTGGTTAGTTCGACCCTAGGTAACTCAGACTCATTTGTTTATTGACCTGTGTGTATCTGTGTATAACACTTGTTAATACTGCCTTAGTTTCTCAAGCTGAAAAACTTGAACATTCTCTTTGTACTTACTCCTCTCTTTCTCCGGTCTCCAAACTTGCTGCAGGTCATCACAACTATTTTCCCCTGTCCCCTGTCACAAAATCCACATGAGAGAAGAGATAGCTTTTTGCCAAGAATAAGTGTCTGCATTCCAACAAAACACTGTTCTGGTCAGACTAAGTATTTATAATTTTTTGCCATAAGGAAATTAAAGTTCTTGGAGCAAGCTCTTAGTTTCCAACTGTTTTTCAACAGGAGGTAACTCCTCTGATTTGCAAGGCTGTAGGCACTGTCTGCACTTGGACGGTGACAGTCACCTTGATGTGATAAAGTTTAAAAAGTGAGCATAACTGTCCTCAATTAGTATACTTTGGGAAGTACAAGAAAAGTTAGTTCCTTCAGACTGAGTGTCATAAAAAGAAGGCAATGAGAAGCATTGCTAATCTTTAAAACGTGAGGCTGTATCCTATTGCTTTAATTTTAAATTTACAATTCTGACGGTTTGTGTACATTCCATCAATAAAAGATTAAACAGCAAATAAACTGGGACTTAATTAAGGAGATAACGGGCAGCACTTTATTTATTCATGGGCTCCAGTGGCCTCGTTCCATCTTCCACTTAGAAATCCAATCCTTTAATATCAGCAAAGTGTAGCTTTTTCCAGCTCAATTATTAAGAATCAATAGTCTTTACTGGTAACATTTAAAAATAATTGCAAATAAGGATATGGAGGCTAAAAATTAAAATAACAACGAAATTCTCTGAAATTCCAGAAAGAAAACCAAAGCTTCTTTTTTCTTGATAAAGTCAGTGGTCAATTCAATTAAACAAGTATCTCCTAGAGCCTTGTGAAAGGTGACAGCGGAAACACGAATGAATACCAAACACAGATGACAGATGAAACACATGTGTCCTCCCCACCCCTGGCTGGAGGTATTTACTTTGAGGATAGGACCGTGTCCTGCCCCTGGAGGGAGGAGGGTGTTCCTTGAAGCATCCTTTCAAAAGACTTGCGAGCCTAGCCCAGGAAAGAGAACCCCCCCCAGAAAACAATGGAAGCACACTCCTCTTTTACGACAAGGAGCTTTTTTCGGTTTGGGGTCTGAAGGTTCACATGGGGCTTTTCATGATCTTTCCAGATGAGAAAGGAGCTGTGTATCCCCCCAAAGATCTAAAAGAGCAAGGGAGGGCAGTGCCCCAGCCCACTAGAGTCAGAGAGAGGAGTGTGGAGGAGGACGTTTTGAAAGACTTTTGGCAATCCTGTTGATGACACTGTGTGGTATTTAGGTGGGTGTCTCAGTTTTCCCATCTGCAGGGTGGGGAAAATAAGAGTATTTACCACGTGGGAGTGTGATGAGGATAAAATAATTCACATGAAGCACTTAGTTTGGTGCCAGGACAAGATGATATAATTGCTATTATTGACAAAATAAAGACTTCCAATGGTCCTTTCTTTTCTTTTCTTTTCTTTCTTTCTTTTTTTTTTGAATGCAAGACTTCCCAAACTTTCTTGAGTATTGAAAAGGTTTTCTTTCTGGAGGATGGAGGGTTGGAGGGCACACCTAATGACATAACGAATTGGTTTTGTGTGCAGTACAGGTGAACTCCCAGCCCTCCTCTGGGTCCCTTGGATGCTCTTGCTCTAAGCACAGAGGCCTTTGCTCACACTGAAGGATACTCCATTGGAACAGGCAGCAATGATGACCGAAGGCTAGACTTTCTGTCTTTTGCTAAACCTAAGCACCTTACTCTTGGTTGCCTCCTTCCAAGCAAATGAGAAAGAAATAGCACAGGGCACCCCCCAGAAGGTGCCAAAACAGAACCCACAGGCAGAGGAGGGAAAGCATCGGGGGATCTCGCCAGACAAATGTGAGCAACAGTGGAATCAATGACGTGGAGGAAGATGCATTTGAAGATGCGTGAGATTTCTTTGGTGTGTCTGGCAGGTGCCGCCGTGTTTTCATGATCAGAAAACACAAAATGAAGCTTCAATAAGGGGGAAAAAAAAGACAACAGTATCAGAATTGGCATAGAGATTCCCCACAGGTACGTCTCTGGTAGACTTTTCCATCACCTGTCACCACACGTAAGAGTCGACCTTAGCTTGAAGAGGTGTCAAATGGGGAGTTCAGAAAATGAGTCTGTCTTTAGGGACAGCTTGATTAGATCGGGCATGCGATCAATCACCCCTGCTTCCTGTTCCCTAAAATCTCCTTTTCAAACCGTGCGTCTTTTTTTTTTTTCCTAAAGCGATTAGAGGGGTTAACATGTTTCTTCCCCCTCATTTCTGAAAGAAGAAAATATAGAAAAATTCAGGACCCCTCCCCCCACTCACCAACACACACATCGACCAACATGGGGGCCTCTGACAAGGAGTCAGACGTTCACCATCAAACCGCTGGCTGTGAAATCTGCCTTTCTGGAACTTTCTGCAGCCCAAACCACGACACCACAGCTTTCTTTGCAAAGGCGAAGGCTTTCGACCGCGGGGCGCAAGGCAAGCACGCCTAGGGGCTGGGGGCACAAGGCAGAACACATCCACAGACTCGGACACGACTGCGAGCACTGGGTGGGCCAGACACCCACGGGGCACAGACACGCAGCCCGGGGGGGCTGCAGCTCGGAAGCCGGTTGCCCGGCAGCAGAGGGGTGTCGCTCACACGGCAGCAGCCACGGCCATTCCCGCCACACGAAGCACACTCAAGCAGGAAGACGTACCACTGGTGGTCCCCGCCGGAGGGCCCGAGCCAGGTCCGGGGGACGAAACCACGGTCCTGTAGGTGGGTGGTGGCGGGGGAGGCGGGGTGGCTCTCTGTCCCAACCCAAAATCTTTGGGAGATGAGATTGTGTCTAAGTAATCATCCTTGATGAAGGTCTGCTCGGCGACTTTCTTCTGGACGTCTTCTAAATCGAGCGGCGATGGGACGTGTCGAGAAGGCCCGGGAGGCCCCGGGGGGCCAGGCGGCCCGGGGGCTGGGGCGTCAGCCGGGCTGTCTGGCGCCGCCGGGGGGGACACCGCCTTTTCCCTTGGAGCCGACTCTGGAGGAGCATGTTCCGGGGACGTGTCGGAAAAATGAACCCACTTCTCTTCAGCACTGACAGCAACAGACTTGGGGGACAACACTGGGCCAAAAATGCTGTCCAGGTCATTGATTGATGGTAGTTTTTCGATTGTGACCTCTGTGGCTGACTGGTCATTTCCTGTGGTTAAAGTATTTGATTTTAAACTTCAATTGACTTTAAAAATAGTGTGTGTGTGGGGGGGGTGGTGGGGGGGGAGGTGGAGGTGGGAGGAGCCTGGCAAGTGCATTGTCTTGGGAGGGGCCTCAGTGGGCATCTTTCTTTAGGATGTAAAAATATCTCTATTGGATTAGGGCTGCAGGTGAGGGGAGACTTCCTGTCTCCATAATGTGAGCATCGCCTTTTGGTGCTATGATTTACTCTTTTGCAAGCCGAGCACGGCTACTTTTACCATCATTGTAAGGTGGTGAGTGTGAACCGCCCTCCAGGGCTGCTGACGAGGGTGCAGGGTGTGATCATCGTGAGAGGGCAATGTTAGGTCCATGGAGAAGTACGGGCTTTGTCTGGAATGGCAAATTCCGAAAGGGAGCCCACTGCTGAAAATTAGAATTACTGAAATACACACAACACGCTACAAAAATAATCGATGACAGCAAATCACCCTCACATTTTAAAAAGCTTGTCTACTTTAGTACGTTAGAGTGTTTGGTGAAACTAAGTGGCTATGTATTCTTTACCTTCAGAACACCAGAAGCACAGTACAAACATTTAAAAAAGAGATCTCCACACAGATACTTACAAACACACACATACTCCACACACAACACACACATGGGTTACTCAGGAGGCATTTGCCGCTTATTAGAAGTGTTACATAAATGCCTGTTTAATAGAAAAGAAAATTGTAAAAAAATCTTTGTAATTCCTTTTCTCATAAACCCTACCTGTTAACATTCTAGGCATTACTATGATATATATTTATATGAAGTCATAATGCAGAAAAGTCTCTGTTTTGCTTAAACATTAGCATCAGCTACTCTTTTTAGGGTGGTATGGCTGTAAGTCGCTATTTTTTAAAATTCATACTAATAAGAGAAGCGAATTAAAAACTATCATCTACAGCTTGGCAATAACTGTAGTGTGAGAAACTGCACTTTTTGTAAACTGAAATTATTCACATTAAAAATTGTTACCTAAATAATTGAAAGGCATGAGCGGAAACCATTTTACCTTTAAATAACTCTTGGGCTACAAGAACCAGCCTAGTATTTCCATATTTCTAGTGTTAAAGGATTTAACTTTCAGGGTTCCAAGGCTACAGATAAATGGGGTAGCATTTCGCATGGTCCACAATATTTATACCTTCGTTGCTGGCAGGTTTATTTATATCTAACGTAATTTGTGGAAAGACAAGGGGCCAAGATGGCTTGAACTTGCAAACACCTTTCCTTTGGAACTCAGGATGGCTCCCTGTTGGGTTAGAGTCAATATATATTTCATAAATGACCATGCCTTGCTTTCACTTTCGTTGATAAACGCCCTGCTGTGCAGCAATCAGACTCACCAGGATGCACACATAGCTAAGGATGAAGCCGCAATCGAATCCCAACAATGATAAAGAAACACATTTGAAGGGCCCGGGCACATGAAATACCTATTCTGATTTTCAATTTACTAGTCCGATAAGACTTGGCAGATTATAAATTATATGACTACAAAGTATTGATTTTAATAGAAGGTAAAGCTGAGTCTTAGAAATTATCCATTTAAAGGCATGCAGCAGTTCCTTGCCATACATATTTCATAATCTTTACATATCTCTTTGCCTTGGGATAATACCTGAATGACGACTGGGGGGGGGGAAATTCCCCACCACCAGTGTGCTGCACATTTTAGAAACCATTTTATGTCTTCATAGAGTAGACAGTTTTAGTTCTACAAAATTTTCTTATTGGTTCTTGAAAAAATACCAGTTGTGCCTTGAGACTATTAATTTATAAACCACTAAAAATGAGATCCAATGAAGTGGTGGTTAATTAAACAATGACTTTTGGCACTGAGTTTTTTTTTCCTTTCATTTTCCAAGTAAATGTGGCACTCAATCAACAATTATACCAAGAAAAAAATTAATGGAGGTGTGTGTCTGTGTGCGTGTGAGTGTGTTTATGTATGTGTGTGTGTGTGTGTGTGTGTGTGTGTGTGTGTGTGTGTGTATGTGTGTGTGAGAGAGAGAGAGAGAGAGAGAGCGAGCGCGCAACTGGGGAATGGTGCTTTAAAACAAATATACACAAAACACTGCAATGAATGCAAAACTAAATGCCCACCCTGTAATGTTTCAGTATAGTCTACAGTTTCCAACAGGGCAAACGGCAAGTTGGTCCGGGGCCACTGCTCTGTTGGCCACATCATCCCAGAACAGAAAAACGAAAGCTTACCTGGTGCAACCGTTAGGGGGGAGCCCGTTCGGGGTGGGGTGGCTGGCACGTTTTTAGGAGGCAGTGGAGGAGGTGCTGCAGAGAGATGGGAAGGCAGGCATGGTTGATCACAAGCTTCCTAAGCCATCCGGCAGGCTGTGGGTAAGCAGACTTTGGGCTTTCTTTTCTTATTCCTGCTACTGGAAACCGAATAGTCACGAATGATCTAAATGTTTTAAAGTTCAAAGCCAAAGGAAAGCAGGACCCCTTTGGGTTCTCCCCGTTCATGAGAATAAGAGTTTGTCAAAAGAATATCAGGTAATAACAGTAATATCACCATTTTATTCATTTAAATATTTTTTAACAAACCTCAAGTGTCAACTAAATCCTATCTCCTGTACTAGGAACTAAGGACATAGGGTTCGATAAAAATAGCACTTGTTCTCAAGAAGTTTACCACGGACTGAATGAATATCCGGTTAACAGATAGTGACAGTCCAGGGTACAATGACAGAAATGGTAACAGGCTGGGAGGGGCTCACGGGAGGGGTTCTTAGCCTGCACTGAGTCTGGAAAGATTTCTCAAAGTTGTCTTTCTTAAATGTTAGCACGTTTTTGAAAGTCAGAAGCTAAGTGCCTTGGGTCAAGGAAGAATGAACAGATTTCTTTGGCTAAAAATCACAGCCACACAAAAGTATGATGGTCCCTTCCAAGACATTCACCCTTCTGAACTGTGCTTGTCACTCTGTGGGCTAAGTTTGGAATTAATGTTTCAACAGGTATATTTTTGCGCCTTCTTTCTTTAAGTGTATGTTTTCTTGTCATTTGCCCTATTTGGAAGATCCAAAGAATCCACGTTGATTTCACGAACCATTCTGAAGTTCAGTTGTGAACTTGAACGTGACCCAGTCCTTCAAAACCTAACAGTAGAGCGAGTCAGGTAGGCACGTAGCTGGAGCGCTCTCGCAAGGACATCATCTCTTTTTTTTTTTTTTTAAGTGAAAAGCAGGATTTATTGAAAGGACAGAAAAGCTTCCACAGTGGGAGGGGACCCGAAGGGGTTGCCCTGGGTATCATACTTTCCCACAGATATTCAGAGTCAACCAGGAGCTCTGCAAAAATTAAGGAACTCTTTCACGAAATTAATCCAGATCACAATCAACAAAATATCGTAAAAACAAATGAAATACTATAAAAGCCCAGGAAGCTAAAATAGTTAAGTTATGCTGCAACAACAAAATGAGCAGAATTACATAATGCACATCAATTAAACCACAGCTTCTGCTGTGCTAAGTGTAATCACCGCACACAAGACTCACAACTCTGAAACACGTTGGACTTGAAACCAATACATCGTCTATGTAAACATCTCGTTTGTTTACTTTCTTGGTATTTAGGAAGGGTTTTCTAGGGATAGTTCTTTTTTTGCTGGTTTTGTTTCCTAATAGCAGGTAGAAACATTCAAAGTTATGCCATTGTGGCCCAAATCTTTTAAAAATATGTCTTTCTTTACCTGTACATTGACTACTTATATACCTAGTCCTGAATTATATCCCACATCTTTAAAATAAAATCATAATAAAAAGTTAAAAAAGAACCTTTCAAAATTAAGAAGCTTTTAAAAAGTTGTTGAAAATGCTGTTAGTCCTGTCCTGTTTAATGAGGGAAATATCTTTTAAAACACTGTATCACATGACTTCATAGCAACACTAGTCCCAACAAATAACCTCATAGCTGTTGAATATGAGTCCTCTTGGTTAATTCTTATGATCATTTTTTTAGGCACTCAAAAGCAGAGCCCTGGGGCTCACACTGGAAAAAGTGTGAGTTGGTTTGTAGGTGAGCCCCAAGGATTAAAAATACCCTTTGCAACCGCCCTCCCACTGCCACCCCACAAAAAAACACCTTTTCCTGAAATCTGATCCTCCCAATGGCCTTTTAAGGAGTATCTTTCATATGGATGCTTGATATGGAAGCTATGAGAAATCTACTGAGAGGGGAGTTCAATAAATCCATAAGAAAGATGGCTTGGTCAGTTGAGCAACCCATTCAGTCCAAATAGTCCAAGCCACCACAGGTGAAGGGCTCCATAGACTCAGGACCTCCTTCCCCAGCCACTTGGTGCGGGGCATGGTAAGCAGGGCTGATGGCTGCTTTCACAAACATTTGCCAAAGTTCAATTTGCCTGATCTCTTCTCTCGGCTTCCCTCTACCATTCAGCTTTGTTTCTCTTTCTCTCCAGGTGTCACTCTTTCCTCTCACGTGTCCTCTCTGTCCTCAGCAGCCTCAGTGGTTCTGTCGGACTAGCAGAGACTGTGTCTGACCTGTTCACCTTTGTGTCCTGTGATAGCCCAGTGCCCGGAACATAGTAAGTTCTTTAGCTCACTCGCCTCTCACTCTTACATACATATTGAATGAATGAATGGTTCAAGGTCAATCATTTTCACTTATTTTATTGTTTTCTTCCTGCCTTGATAATCTGCCCCGAACCCTTTAACTCTAAAGCCTGCTAGAATAACAACATCTCTTTTTAATATCATCCTGTTCCAACATTGCTTACGTAGACTTTCTAAGAGCTGCCTCACCTCACTAGGCAGACAGACAGTAAAATGAGTCACCGATTTTTCCAGATAGAACAGACATACAACTTACTTCCAGTGGGAAAAGGCCTTGTTAACTTTGGCGACTCCATGCTCGGATTAATTGGTTGGCCTGAACCCCATATCTCAGGCTGATCTAAAAGAACTGGAAACATAAAAGAGAAATTCCCAGGGTGAGTTCAAAAAAGAAACACCCCCGCATTTTAGAACTTAGCATCTCCATTTAAAGTTGGGCTTCACAAAACGATTTCCCTCTTGCCTCAGTACTGAAAAATTAGTTTGGGAATGTGCTGCTCCTTCCTCTTTTCAAGCAGAGAACAGATATAGGAGTGTGGTGTGAGTGTGTGCATGAGGGTGTCTGTGTGCCTACACGTAGCTACCTAAAAAGCCACAAAGCAGAATCTGCGTTTCCTTCCCGGTTGGTCACTTAAGGACATTCTGAGTATCGGTACACATACTGACGTCATTTCTGGTACCCACTGCAAAATCCAGGCATTAATCCCGTGGATATTTGTTTTGGTATAAGTTGGTTTATTCAAAGTCTGCTATGAATATGCTTCAAAACTGAAAAATGCCTGGGTTGTGTGCAGCGGTTCCTATCTTTAAAGGGTTGTACGGAGTCTTTAAATAAACCGTTTATGGCATCGCAAAGAGAAATGAAATGGTTCTGAAAAGGCTTGTGGGATATCTTTATTTTAAAGAAGTGAAGTACAATTCAGGATTGTTGAAGATCTTAAGAGAATCAGAAAAATAAACAAGTGCTTACACATCTACAGTAATCAGGGCAATTGGGTTAGGGGCCTCAGGACACTGAATTTAACATTTCTTCTCTTTCTTTTTTCTTCTGGTTTGATGTTCAAAAATTGCCATGGCAATGTAAATAGGTAGCTCCTCTCAGCACCTATCATGTGGCAGGGACCATGCAAGTACTGCTGTGATTCATCATGCTGTAGAACGCCGGCTGGGAAGTCAGCAGGAGGTGGATTTGAATCTAGTCTCTGCATCTACTGTAGGACCTTGGACAAGTCACTTCACCTCTCTGAGCTGTCTTCCTTCAGTGCAAAGTAGAGATGAGGGCAAACTCAGAGAGTCACAAAGAAGATGAAAGGATATAGTATATGTAAAATGTATATAAAACACTTATCACAAGGCCAGTTGCTGTTATTATGCATTATATGTATTATGCATTTTAATTCTAATAGCATCACTATGTGGTTGATAGCAGCGCCACGGTGGGAAAGGAAACCAGGGGTTAGAGCGGTTAGAAAATTTATCCATGGCAGAAGGAGAGGTGCTGAGATCTGACTCAGGCATACATGACTCCCAAATACGTATTCCCTCCCCTCACGTGTCTTTTCAACGAATGATAGAAAAATCACTTTAAAGAAAGGTGAGTAGATAGGAAAGGAAAGTGTGGGCATTGGAAGAACTAGTGTGGCTGGTGCAAATGTTGCAACTCTAAGAACTTTAGGGGCTGAAACCATCTACAGAACAATCAAGTCAGACACTTGGCCAAGTCCAGGGCTGTATCCTCTCTCCATCACAGACCTTAAAGATGGCCTTAGCTCTGTTTTGTTTTAACACAAAAGGAAACATTCTCCAAATATATAAAGCGGTATGTTTTTTCATGGATTCAGTGTAAGACTCTGTCTTGATTTTAAAGAGTGATTTCTATTTTTTAATAAAAAGTTTTCATGTAATTATGGAATTCCTTATCTAGGCAGATTCAGGTACAATAAATCAATTCCCACCTTTAGTCACAGTGCAGCTAGGGCATTAAAAGCAAGACTAATCATAGGTGATGTACATAGGAATTCTAAGTTACAGATATGTAAATCACTGAAGGAATTTCGTTGAAAATCAGGCATGGCTGACCCCTGGTTGTCTCCCAGAGTCCATTCTTCATTTTATTTTCTATCTTAACAGAGTTTTAGCCGGACATATGACACCGCATTCTCTCCAGTGGGCTTTGGTTGGAAGTGATTTGCGTCTCTTCCAGATTTTGCTCTTAAACTTGGCCGTGAGTTCCATTGGCCCTGTCCCTGCCCCTTTCTTCTGACCAGGAGCTGATGAGAGTTGGGACAGCCCTCTTGGCCCCAGAGATAAAGGCAGCATGTTGAAGACTGCAGAGAGCTACCCTATCCATCCTATGTTGTCTACTTTTAGACTGTTAACATGAATGGTAACATAATTCAATCTTGTTTAACTCACTGTACCTTGAGTTCTCTTTGTCAATGTAGCTTAGCTTACTCATTATGCTTCCAGGTCTTGTTGTCCTTAATACTTAGGACACTTTACCAATAGGTTTTAGGAAGATAATGTGTTATTATTGTATATATACCATGGTGCTCTTAAGTCAAACAATTTTTACAAAAACATTCTATATTACCAAAACACAGCGACTGGAGACGTATGCATTAGACATAAACACATTTCAGGAACAGATTAGTTTAGATTCTTTTTAAAGAGAGCAACCTACAGAGAGTTACCTTTTACAATAAGGTACACAGCACTTACTGCCATCCCCCCACAACGGCTAATTTAAAAGAGTTAGATGTTTAACTCTAGGAATCAATATTGAATAGGCAAACTTAACAATGATGACAGAAATGAGGAGACTCCTCCTTCAGAATTTTATTTCTAAGCTGCTAAATGATCCCAGGTCATTGCTAGGTCTGAGCCAGCAAACAGTGACTGTTGTGAGGAATCCGACTGACATGTCTGTTGATGGGGTGGGAGGGAGAGTAAATGTGCTCAGAGTGGCTGGATCACAAAGATGGTGACTGGGATCGGTGTGCGCAGGCCTGGCTCCAGTCATATTGACTCCTCGCATGATGGCTGTCTGGCTCACAGAGCACTGACGCTCTGACAGGTGTATGTGTAGACTTGAAGTGATTCTTTTGAAGAGTGAGTTTGTTAGCCAGTAGACATTTCTGGAAGTAAAGTTTCAAATTCTAAATAATAGAGGTCCGTAAACTAAACTTTTGTTCTAGACAGCACGCCTAGATCAGAACGTTTCTTTCTCGTGAGGATTTGATAATATATTAAAAGTATGCGTCAAAACATATACATTTACTCCAGAAAAGTTATACTTTGATTAAAAAGAAAAACAAGTCTATAGATGTATAGGGTTTCTCCTACCTTCCGTCTTCTGTTCATCGAAAGCTGATTCCAACGGTGGGCCAAAGAGGGGAGCAAGAGCCATCGTGTCATCTGGAGGCTTTTTGCTAAATCACACACATTAAGGCAAAACATGGAGAAAGGGCTCAAAAATGAATGCTCAGAAAGATAAACAAGATCTCGGATATTTTTCTCGGTAAAACAAGTGCGTATATGCATTCATGTATGCATGTACACATGCATGAATATACAAACTTCCGTGGGGTTATGAAGTATTACATAAGGATGTTAAATGTATTATGGGACAGGGAATTGGTAGAAATGAGTTCCATGTTCTCAATGGAAGACCAAGGTGCTGGTCCATTAGAAATTAAGTTGAAGGAGAAAAACTCTTTCAAAGCATCGTGATTTTCTATACCTAGAAGAGATAATACTAGAAATAACCATGTATTGAAAAGTGTCTTTCTCCCTTAAGATCTCAAAAACGATTTACATTTGTCTTCACCACATCTGTGTTATAGTTTATACAGTTTATAGTTAGTGAAAGTCAAGCATGGGATAGTAAATAAAAAGCCACCAAGGAAGTTTCATCTTTCCCCCCCAATCCCAACATACTAGTTTTAACCTACTAATACCCAGTACAGTACATCTCAGAAAGAGGAGTGCTGAGAAATCAGAGGGTGCAGCAGGATAATACATTTAAACTTCCATCCCTTGTCCTAAGTATTACTGCAGACTAATTACGAAGAAAAGGGCTGCATACTCGTCTCTGTCTCTTCTCCAAACCTGATTCCCCTCAAAGCTCCTACTGAGGTCTGTGTGTCCTTGGTGAGGGAAGAGGGGTGAAGAGGAAAAGGATTGAGAGGAATCCAGCATTTAAATAGAAATAGCAGTCTTTTTATACAACGATTCCTATTTGTATATGATTTAACCTGAAGAATACACTGTAAAATGTAATGCTTTGTCAAAAACAAAAAAACAAAATGGAAGATTCTTTTGGTGTGTGGCAGGTGGAATGTTACAAGAAATCGTGTCCAACTCAACAGGCTTCTGTTCGTAGGGTAATACAGTCATATTTCAGGTCAGCATTCCAGACAAGAGAACATCAGCCTTACCATTAGCAAGGGGACTGTATATTCTGACAGTCAGTTACTTTAGATAAGTTCAGAGAACTTCCCTGAAGGTCTCCCTTGGACTGCACTTGTGAGAAATGAGAACCTATCTGGACCATGCTGTGGACATTTGGACTTAACATGTTTGGGTAGATCTTTGATTAATTGCAGCCAAGAGTTTAGCCCAAAGGAGATTTGCCTAACTGTTAAAAGTTCATGATGGCTTGCATAAAACGCAACTGATGTCTTCCACGCTCACCTTATAAGTTCTGGGGTTGGTGTGGAACGCCTGGGTCTTGCCACTTCTTCACCTGATGCACAGAACAAAGAGACTTTTTAGACATGTTTTTACCATTCCCTTCTGATATATCTTATAAGCTATGTTTGGAAACACTGAGATTTAAGTCCCATCAATAAGCAACTCAGTATGAAAACTTTGCAAAACAAACCTTCTCCCCTGGCAATGCAACAGCCATATATTAGACATATGTCGTGGCGTTTTCTCTGGCATTTGTAAAACCTCATTAACTAAGGAGCTGCTGTGATAAGCCATCAAATGGAAGATTTGTACACTGCAGAGCTTAGTGAAAGAGCATACCATTCTTGGAATGTCTGCTGCCTTGATTGATTTTGCTTCCTAATTACCATAAGAGAACACTAAGCCAGGCCATATGTGTAGTACATGAATCCAGCATTCTCTGCTTGTTCTTTTCTTGAAATGCCAAGAAAATGTTGTGTCTCTGACTATGAACCATGAATTTAGAATTTCCTAGAATGTGTTGTATGCAGTAGAGGAAAACTGTGCCTATGTATATCATAATCTACATCCCATCATTTCACTTGACTCAAATTTTCGTATCAAATACCATAAGCATGGATAAGTTCCTTCTTTCAGTTCCTTGTACCCACCTGCTCTTCCCACCCCCATAAGCAAATGCACAGTTGATGAATTCATTTCTAAAGTTAAGTGAGACTGCAAGAGTTGACAAATATAGGAAGAAAATAGCAATGTTTCCCTAAATACATATCCATTTTCAGAATTTAAACATTAATCATTCAGAACCCACATGGGCCCTTTATTGTTAAAATAATCCTTTGCTGTAAAAGTAAAACAAAACAAAACAAAAAAAACAAGTCTTAAAAATTAAGCCCAAGAGTGTATAATTCAAATGTATATAAGCTCCAAGATCCAAGGAACTATTCTTTCTTTTAAATCGTACTCTATTTCTGGTAGCTAAGATATACTTACTGGATAAGTTCCTTTTAATTGCACCCTAGAATTAGAAATAGACACTATAAGGTTTAAGACCACATATATGTTATGTACAATATGTATTATTTCTGTCATTGCAATTAAACTGAGCTCAAAGAAATGCAGATGGGGAAAATGAAATTTTTCTCAGAACCACATTTAAGTTGGAAATTGTAGATACACACACAGAAGTCAGTTTTTCATTTTACTCAAAGACTGTGGAGAGGAAGGAAGGGTAAATTATAAGTCTCCTTAATGAGGAAACCCCTTACCTGGGAGATTTGGTAAATTAAAGACAAATATTAAGTAGTCCATTAAAAAAAAAATTCTTGAACTCTAGCAGATAAAGTAAATCAAAGTTTCACATTATGTCTGATGTTTGAAAATTGTAGAATGTATTTAGGAGTGTTGTATGCTCCTAGTCAGGTGGGGTCCCTAAGTAGCTACTAGAAATAGGCATCAGTTTACCGATGTGATTTTTAAAAGCATAAGTGGCAACTGTTGAAGGCAAGAGAGAAACTGGGAGGCTTCTGCCACTGAATGAACTGCTTTTTTCAGGAAGCCTGGAAATCCTACCCCACCCAACTCATTCTCCCAATTTCTTCCACTCGCCTACCACTAGGCCATCAGTCCACCAATTGTGAGTCACTTCTTTAGCTCAAGGCATTATTATTCAAATACAAAAGTTTGTATATTATTACTGTTATCAAATAATAATAAAATATAAAACATATATACTTATATATGTATATATAAAATATATACACAAATACAAATAAAATAATAATAAAATTATTGTTCAATATTATTGATATTATTGAAATACAAATATCCCTGGCAGGAATAATAAGAGCAGGTCACCTCTAACTTTTATAATGCCTTAGCATACATTTATTTAGGTAATAAAAGGCTGGATTAGATAAAAAGTCTTGATTAAAAACCAGAGGCTGTGAAAAGTTTTTTTCGCAAGAGATGCTACCAGAAAAGCAGACCACTGGGAGGGTTGTATCACGGGATAGAACATGGCTTGCCACGCCCGCCTCAGGGGAATGGCAGGGCAGCATTGAGGGCAGGAAACATGAAAGTGCACATAAGAAAGCATCCTTGGAGTGAGACCATTAACACATTTGGTGGGTAGCCACCAAATACATTCTTCACCTACTTTCTAACATTAGTGAAATCTCAATGTGGTGATCACAGGTATGTTTTCTTCTTTCAAATTATACATTAGCAACTTGGGACAAGATTTAGCACCTTTGTAATCACCCTATAAGAAGTTTCTTTTCCTTGTTCCTAAGAAGATATCAGAATTTTCTATCCCATCTTGAACCTATTTATGATAGAAGAGCAGATTCAATTTGAACAAGGACTCATTCAATGTTTTCTCAATATCTCTAACTATATGTTTTGGCTTATTTTGTTTTAGAATGCAACATACAGAGAATTATTACATTATTTGCTAAAAACTTGCAAACAAATATGGCCACTTAAATCTGTCATCATTATGGGAGTTTGAATACAGGTTTGCTTTTGGAAAAAAAGACTCTGTAGACAGAAATAATTAAAGAACAGACAGTTTAAATGAAGTTAAGCTTTTTGGGGGGTTATGGACCCTCACATAGTCAGAATTTTATTAATAAGGTCTGAAGGAAGAGATAGAGGGGCCTTGGTTCCAAGTAGTCAACCTCAAGATTAATAAGTGACATTGCGGGAACAGAGCCCATCTAGTATTGTGAGACCTGAAATCTAGTAGTTAGGAGATCCCGGAGACTACATTGAGAAACTTCTAGTCTCTCTGTCCGACTCCTTTTATTAAAAACGTAATTCCCATGAAACCAAGAAAGGCAGTAAGTTTCTTTTGTATTAATCAATTCTAAGGTGTGTCAATTCATTCAACAGATACTCACTGTTGAAAGGTACTAAATAAGAAGTCCCTATAACATTTTTATTAAATACTTTTCATAAGTGAACAATCCCAAGGTAAGTGCAAGCAAGACACGGCAGAAATATGCAAGGAAACCCTATTGTTTAGAAATCAGGAATAATAAAGCTAATATCAATTTAGAAAGGAACAAATATCCGAACGATCATCAGCAAATCGCTGAAAAGAAAGTCCTGCTGTCTGCTGGATCAGCACACTGATCTGTGATGGCCTTAATGGTGCAGCAAGGCAAATCCAGAACAAGGTTAAGGTGATGCCGACTACACAAACCACATTCAAGAACAAAGCCCATAGGATTCAAAAACCTTCTCCTCCTTACCAAGAGTGACCATATTTTCCTCCTTTCAATGATTGTTTGTAGTTATATTTAGATCGTGAATAAATATTCTTCATTTTGAATTAACGAATTCACTCTTTCTGATCTGGGAGAAACAGCTGGGTTGACGTCCTCCACATCCAGAAAGAATAGCTGTCTCTGCAGACGCCATTTTGAACCTCAGCTATTCCGTTTAAACAGAACGACCAGCTTGTCACTAATAATTAAGTTGGCAGAGGCCTATGGATATTTCAGACAGTTTTCTGTTTTCCGTTTCATTTCCCCTCTTAAGGGACTGGTCAGGTAGATAGAGGTCATCTTAAACTAGCAAAGACTCTTTTTTGGTTGTTTTTAATTAATCATACTCTTCAATCTGAGGAAAGTGACTGAGATTCCACTTTGAACAATGCAAACTAATATTGATCTACCCTTCTGAGGTTTGTCTTCAGAGATGAAAATTATTTAGAACTACGTGGCAGCCTGGGAGGACTGATTTGAAAGCATGTCCTTTCAAATCAGATGGAAGTTATAATTATGTATTAGCATATTCTGACCAATCCAAGTTATGATCCTGGAACTTATTTTGAATTCAGGCTTTAAAACAATGTGACTTAAGAATGGTTTCCTTATATTCCTTATAGTTTTATTAGTATTATCCTTTATTATCACCTTGCTATCAACTTCTAAGGTGCTTTCTGGCTAGTCTCCAGGTCTTTTATACACACACACACACACACACACACACACACACATACACGCACACACACACGCACACACACACACACTGCATACATACATTTTTCAAATTTAGCACTAGGAGTTGAGATCCCAATGTACTAATGTAGTTTGTTAAGGAAAAGTGCACTGGCGAACGGGTCGGGGCTTCCAACCAGTAGACATAATCCATTTGCCCCATTCACACTGGTTTATCATAAACTTAACAGGAAATCAACCTGGCCACCTTGCCTTGGCTGCAAATTTCTCTATACATGTTTAAGGTAAAAATGTTGAGAGTTCTTACCGGGCTGCGCCTCTGTGATCAGCAAAAAGGAAGAGAGAACAGACACCTAGTCAGAGAATGATGGATCAGTCAACAGGCTTGGGCAATAGAAGACAACAGAAAACAGCTAACCAAACATATACTCCAAATAATCAGGTCAAAGGAAGACAGGCAGTTCTAGTGTTTTGGGCTCATTTAAACCACAGGAGGCTTTGGAGAACCTGGGAGACTCTGTTGCACAATACGGTTTTGCCCATGTAGACATCTGAGTTTTACTTACTTATACACGAGAACAAGGCAGAAACGTACAAGAAAACTTTACTGACAGTGTTTAATGTCTTGCCGTAGGATTTTTTTCTCTAGATTATTTGGGAAGTGGGCACATAAGGAATAGGTAGTATAGGGCAAACGGTTTCCCTACACAACAAGGTGTTAGTAAAATCATAAACGTAGTGCATTTCACACATAGTTAGGGTCTAAAAGGAAGCTCCAAAAAAGTCAGAGACAGGATTTAAAGAGCCCTTTTCTTGGCTGGCTTTTCTCTTTGGTGTTCTATGGAATGTGTGCTTATGAGGACTTTTTTTGGGAAACATATGTTCTTGGCCTGGTGATTTGGGAAGCCTCTGCCAATGGGTAGAAGTATGGGAAAGATGAGGAATCCCTGACAAACACAGGTGGGAATAATAAAAACTGTCCAGCACCAACGGGACACCGGTGGCCTGGATGATATCTCAACAGCACAACGAGCAGGCGTATGACTTCTTCCTTTTGCCTTTCCTTGATTATGGATTATGGCTGCTATCCACGGACCCTCTTTAGATCTTTCTGCCATAACCAGAGTGAAGAGGATGTGAGAGGGGAAAGAGATGTTGCTCAAAGTTTCACTTTCAAGATGTGGGATAGTCCTTGCAATCACTAAAGGTGACCTCCCTAAACCCAAGTCAGGATCACAAACGCAAAGGTGGCCAGGAGTTTGCTCAAAGGAAGTGGATGATCTTCTCTCCAGAACGTAGATAGGAAGCAACAGCCTGTATGCCCTAGCGAGGAAAGTGAGACCCACAGCTAGTAGATGGGTAGACCCAGAGACAAAATTGAGATCTTGCATCTCCTGTTAGATGGGTACACTCAGAGACAGAACTGAGATTTCTCATCTCCCATTCTCTTGTCCTTTCTATGATGCCATGCAAGACACGTTGAAGGACTCCTAAAGAACAGTGCCCTTGTGAAACACATCTAGATCTGGTGACTTCTCAGACCAGTTTGCAAGTAGCTTGGACTTCAGATATGCTTATTCTATCTTATTTTCCTTGTATCATTTTAGAATTTATTTGCCTTATTTTCCAGGTACCGCTCCATATTAATGCCACCTTTCTTAAAACCCTGTCTATTTGCATGGATGCAATTTTTTAAAAGTTAGAAAAAAAGGAGACCTATGAATATGTATTTCTGGACTTAAATTCCCTTATTGACAAATCCATACTGTTTTGAGGTGGAAAGGATTGCCTGAGTTCAGGAGGTTGAGGATGTGGTGAGCTGTGATTGTGCCACTGCACTTCAGTCTGGGCGACAAAGTGAGACCCCCGACTCAAACAAAAAATTATATATATATAGCAAATAGGGACCAGACACAGTGGCTTATGCCTGTAGTCCCGGCACTTTAAGAAGCCGAGGTAGGCAGATTGCTTGAACCCAGGAGTTCGAGACCAGTCAAGGCAACATAATGAGATTTTGTCTCAACAAAAAATAAAAAACATTAGCTTGGTGGGGTGGCACACGCCTGTAGTCTTAGCTACTCAGGAGGCTGAGGTGGAGGATCACTTGAGCCCAGGAGTTACAGGCTGCAGTAAGCTGTGATTGGACCACTGCACCCAGCCTGGGTGACAGAGGGAGACCTCAGCTCAAAAAATTAAAAAAAAATAACATAGCATATAGGAGACTAAAAGTGATACAAGCTCCTCCAAGATGAAATTATGAGAAATAATGCAAAATAAAAAATTCAGATTGCAAATCTCCAGAGTGAATCTTAAATATAAGACATTTTATTCATATAAGATTATACAGAAAACTTTTCAAAATAACTTCATTAATCCACCCAAATTCAGTCATATCTTAATTTCCATTGAGTTAAAAATCTATATTTTTAATCAATAGTCTATGCTCGCATTTTTTCTAGTAAAAGATAATCTTATAATAAACATTTTGAAAACTCCATTTGCAAAATACCTTCATCAAAGAATGACTGCTCGAATCATGTAGTTTTAGGCTGATTAAAACACAGAACCCAAAAGACACAGCTAGAGGCTGTGCAAACTGCATACCCAGAAGGCCTCAACATTTATAATTAAGAGTTAAATGAAACCTTTGAAAGGAAAATAATTTTGGAAGTCAAGTGGAAGGTCTTTATAGGTGTTAATTATCACCATTATAGAGCATAAAGTAGCTTCAGCTGTGCTGGACAACAAACAGCAAAATCATTATCAACTTTATATATAGGCCGCAGTATTTTCTTTTAGGTTGACATGTTCACATTGAAAATTATATAACTTTTAGAAATATGGTATGTTCTAACCAAAGATCTTCATTCCAGGGACCAAAACATAAATTAGCAGTGTTTACTGACTTTGAAAACAGCCTCAAGGTACAAGGCAAGAATCATCTCTAAGTTGAACACTGAAATAAAAGTAGAAAGGAAAATGAAATGTTTTCCAAAACCTTGTCCAGAATGCATCAGAAGACCAAGAGAAATCTAGGAATTGAACCCTTAATATCTAATTAGGGTTGTAGGAAGTTTGCTCAGACACCAAAGAAACCAGGTGGGAAGAGTCTTTGCCTGTTCAAAATTTTATTTTCTCCTTTTCGCTGTCATTTCCCAAGAACATTGAAGCCCTAGAGGTCTACATTTGTTCTACCAATGTATAGAATTTTCTTCCAAGAAAACTAATTCAGGATGCTAATATTTTCCGAGATTTTTCTTTTATTTTTTTAGTTGGGTCTCACTCTGTCACCCAGGCTGGGGTACAGTGGCACAATCACGGCTCACTGCTTCCTCAACCTCCTGGGCTCTGGTGATCCTTCCACTTCAGGCTCCAGAGTAGCTGGGACTACCGTGCAGGTGCATACCACCACCCCAGTTAATATTTTTAAACAATTTTAAAATAATTTGTTTACTTATTATAGAGTTGAGGAGTACAAGTGAGTACTTACTACTTAAGTCGGCAGCATGCAGGTGAAGTTTGGGCTTCTAGGTGCCCTCACTTCCCCGGTAGTGAACCAGGTACGCTTTGTGTCATCACGGGCCTCCACACTCCTCCTTCCTTCCCCCACCCGGCAGTGCCCAACGCCTGCCAATCCCACCCTTGTGCTCATGTGACTAGTGATCAGGGTCTACTTACGAGTGAGAACATGTGGTATTCAGGTCTTTTAATTTGTGTGTGTTTGGTGTATGTGTGTGTATGTGTGTGTGTGTAGAGACGAAGTCTTACCGTCTTGCCTAGATTGGTCTTGAACTCCTGGGTTCAAGCAATCTTCCTGCCTTGGCCTCCCAAAGTGCTGGGGTTACAGATGTGAGCCACCGTGCTCAGCCGGTCTTGATATCTTCTATAAGTGGAGAGATCTAAGTCCAGAGTTGCAAATGCAAATGCTTGCAGGGGTGGAAACGGGCGGGAGGTGAGGGGTGCCTAGAGTGTGGTAATGTGTGCATTAGGAGACCGATAAGCAGACACCATGGAGTGTATTACTCAGGTGCACCCCCTGTCTGCCATATGAGAATATGGCTTAATGCTGCCAGATCCTCTAGAGCTTTTTTTTTTTTTTGAAATATTCTAGTTTTAAAAGTGGGCTAAGACTGTTTTTAGCTGCAGAACCAAACAGAACACCTATTTAGTTGTTCATAATCTGCAGGAGGCCAATTTGTCTCTGATTGCAGGCATTTGTGTAGGCATGATAAGCTCTCAGTAAATTCTGTCTGCTGTTGTTATTATTTCATCTCTACATCTGATTACTCACAGACTTTGCAAGTGGTTTATTTGGTGTCTGAACAAATTTTCTACATTCCTAATTAAATATCAAGGGTTCAATTCCTAGATTTCTCTTCGTCTTCTGATGCATTCTGGACAAGGTTTCGAAAAACATTTTCTTTTCCCTTCTACTCTGTTGGTGTTCAACTTATAAATGATTTTTACTTTGTATCTTGAGGTTATTTTCAAAGTGAATAAACATGCTAATTTATGTTTGGGCCCCTGGAATGAAGATCTTTGGTTAGAGCATATCATATTTCTAAAATGTACATAATTTTCAATATGAACACGTCTACCTAAAAGAAAATACCGTGGCCCATTATTACAGTCTCTACAGTGTTCTTATGCCACACCACAGGATACCTTTGTCTCAGACACCGTGCAAAGTGTTTTAAGACACTTATCATTTCTAAGTGACCAAGCATAATCTGTCTTGCTTTGCAAATTCACTAAATAACTAGCCTCAGATTTTGAAGTCCTATAACATGCTCATTTGCTCAATTCAGTGCTTTAGAAACACAGAGGAAAAAGGACAATAAGCTACCGAAGTTAAATAAATATTTTGTATAGTAAGTTCAGTGATTCATGTTAGAGAATTCTCCAGGGAAGAATTAGAATATAGGATCATCAAGTTTATTATTAAAATATTTATATAGCAAGTTCAGTAATTCATGTTAGAGAATTCTCCAGGGAAGAATGAGAATATAGGATCATTAAGTCTATTATTAAAATTCCCGTCAGCATTTCTATTTTTAAATGTGTTAGGGTGCAGGCAAAATGTTTGACAATCATTGATTTGCCCCCCTACTGCAGATAACTTTGTCTATATTCGTGGTTACCTCTATATATATGATAAGTCAAGTGACAGGCGCTACCTACTGTCTTCTATCAGACATGTTTGAGATGATCTTCTGAAACTTTGTTTGGGAAGAGAAATGGAAAACCTGCTACTAGCCAACGTGTCCTCCGAGGTGACTAGGCTGAGGGATCGATAAGGTAAACATTCCCACAGAAAAAGGAACTGGCGGAGGTGGGGGGAAACTAGTGTCTGAAGACACACAACTGAAGACGAAAAGGCTTGCTGTGGCTGAAGTGCTGTAAGGACAGCAGGGGGAAGAAAGGGTTGTGAAAGTGTCACAGGCAAACTTCGGGACACACAGTCCTTTCAGCATTCGAAGCGGCCGATTTGGTTAATTCAGAGAAAGATTCAGGGTCAGGGGAGTAAGTGAAATTGGCAAAATATTAGCAAAAGCTACCAGAGAGCTCCAGCAACACTGTGCTGCCACATAGCAGGGGATAGCTGATTCTCAATTACACAGAAGTGGGCCACTTAGCAGTGTTAGTCATAATCATAATCACAGATGCTTCTTCCATTTATGAAAAAAGACTTGGGCCCACATTTGGATAGCTTTTCACATTCTGATCTCAGAAGGCTCTTCCTGTGCCTTCATTCTCCGCCCCCCCGCCCCATCGTGCGACCTTCACCTACATGGTATCGGGTTGGGACAACGGGCAGGATGAGAGTAGAACAAACCAACCGCTTCTGGGTGCTATTAATACGGAAGCACAATATTTTTCTACTTCCGGCAGAGAGGTCGCCTCTGTCAGCCATGCATCAGCATCCTGGGACATTCCCAACAAACCAGGCAACATCATGGCTTTTCTGTTTGTTTGTTTTTTGTTTTGAAACCTGTTCCATGTTGCTCTAAAATAGAAAGATGTAGGTACCTCACATCTGACTTGGGCTGCCACTAAAAATCACCCGCTGGTACTAAAATCAAGATCCAGGAGGCAATTTACATTCTGTAAAGATCCCCTTTTCTAGCTCTGACAATTCCAGAAGGGAATATTCTGATTTACCAAAACAACAGCAAAAATAAAACCCCTCGGTGCCCTATGACTCCCCTTTCCCAGGCTAATGTCGCAAGCATTCAGGATGCTGTCATGTTGTACGTCAATCAAAAAATTAACTTGCAAAAATGCTTGCCTAGCTCACAGTATGTACATGTAGCTTGACTAATCAAGGGAAGCTGCAGTAAATGAAACTCAGTCCCTGAAATATTTGATCACATGTCCATGAGTGAGGCAGAGGTGAATCTTTACCACAGGGTCGCAAAATCACTTGGCAACCAACATCCTTTTTTCCCTATGTGGCATCATTAGACCTGTAAAAAGGTTTGTTTTTAAAGTTCAAGACCTTGTTTAGGTATGAAACACAGTCAGTCATTAGATATGCAGATGATGAAAATAAACAGAGCAAATGATGTTTGGGTAAAAGGTGGAAATAGATTATTTCTTACCGGACTTTTCCTCTAAAAGCGTAGGCATGGGGAGAAAAAATAAAGAGAAAATGAGAGAGGTGAAATGTATTTTCAAGAAGAAAACAGCTCAAGGCTCAGAATAGCCTTACTTAAGGCAGCTCTCTGAGACGCTGCTTTTATAAATGTTCCCTGTGGGTGTCTGACACGGTCCCTCCGGGGCCGCCGTTTTTAGTTAGTTCAAGTTGCAGAGGGCATAGGCGCACACATTCTAAACTTTCCTTTGAATAGTTTACTTTTATCAAACGGAGTTGTGTCTTGAAAACAAAAAGCGATGCCTTGTAATATTGAGAGGAATTGGAAAATGCCATGAATGCGTTGTAGCCAGGTATGGTCATGACACTAAAACATGAGAGTTTCTAGAAACTCTAATCTTGCCAGGGAACCCACTACCCAGCCCCTTCTTCCAAGTCACCCTGGCTAGAACCACCAGTTCTTCTTTGAGCCCGTCTTTCATCCTCCCCCGCTCCCCACAGACAATTACAGATTCTTTTCGTCGTGAGTGGTCCTTGGCCCTGAATATGCTCTCTTATTTCCTCAGTGAAATTATTATTATTTCTTCATTGTCTCTTGCTGACAGTGCCCGTGCTTTCTAGTCGATGGGACCCGTTTCCAGTTCCTAGTCCATCCTTCACATCATCTCAAGTCATTTTCTGTCCTTAAAAAACTTCCCTACTATCCAGAAAATAGAATGTATAGTAGGTAACACTTTCTTGATAGGCTGCCACGTACTCCTCCCATCCTCACCTTCTGTTACTGTCTGTCTGGAAGCCTGCACCCGGTTGCGCTCCCCTCAGACCTCCCAGATGTGCCATGCATTCACATGCTTCCCTGCCTTGTGCTTATGACACTTCTTCCTCTCCCCAGTCAAAATCTTCCTCTCTCTTCAAGGCCAGTAGCATGTCTTCCATGAGATCTTTCCCAAGCTTTCTAGTCAGAATAAATGGTTCCCCCCTCTTGCTTGACTGTAACCCATTCCTTTTGTTCACCATAACAAGTGAATACCTTTAATAATAAATGTTACCATTTGTGGAGTGAAAACAAAATAATAAGTAAATATTGAAGGCCTTTCTCTTTGTCTGTCATTTATTAGCCTCAGGGAAAACAGGAGGACATGTTGTTAGTATATTTCTGCAGTTTGGATGCCATTCTATCTTATTTACATGTCTCTACTTGATTGTTAGCTGACAGTAACCATTATGAATGGACTCTCTCTAGCCCCAAACATAGTGTGAGGCAGAGAGTAGGCATTCAAAACACGACCATAAATTCCCTTTTCGGGGGCCATTAAAACAGTACAGCAATGCTCGAGGCACAGAGTCTTTTGTAATATGGACAGATGAATTGCTCTCTGAAATAAGGTTAAATAAGGCCCAGGCCACGTTCCCCAGTTGTCATGGTTCCTCCACCAGCTCCTATATATATTTCACTTAGCGCCTACTTAACTGTTAATTTCTCCGCCCACTTGTGACGTCAGTGCTAGCACATGTTACAAGGGTTCTAAGGAAGCAGCACAGTTTGGGGCAAACATTCGTGTAGATTATGAGATCCTAACTCCAAGTGGAATTTTTTCCTGCAGCAAAAACGAATGCTTCAGAAGAACTGGAGGCTAAGAGACAGGCCACATCCTTGGTGCCATTTTCAGACCCAGACCTTTGGTAAGTAGCCCAGATACATGAAGATTATTCACAAGTCCAAGTTTTTAATCTACAGACAAAGATTTCTGAGTTGAAACCAAATAGCTTTTGAGTGACTGTCACGGTAGATGACACGAGCTTTCATATATTCAAATTAGCTCACTCTTATTTTCTGGATGTCTTTGGGTGAGTTACACGGTACCTCAATTTTTCAATTTGTAAAGCAGGGATAATGGCCACCTGGTAGGATTGTTGTGAGGATTAAAAGACAAGGGTGATACTGACAGTTAACAATGAGTGGTTACTTACTAATGCTACCTTACGTGGCTGGTGTCATTCTAATCCCTAATTAACTAACGGAGCAAAGGAGACTCAGAGCAGTTTTGAGGCCATGTGGATACAAAGGAGCAGAGATGGGGCTGGACCCCAGATTGTCTGACTCCAGAGAGTCCAGTCCAGAGTGGGCTCCTGACACGGCCCAAGTTCCCTAAGCAGATCGAACTCACTTTCAAGGCCTTCTCAGCATTGGGATCTAGAAACAGCAGTGCTATTAATGCTCACAGATCACAGAGGCTGGAAAATCTTGGATCTTTCCAATGGAAAGAATTAAACAGATCAGCCAGTCTCAAAATGAGCTTCTTAGACAGTGAGCTTGTGTTTCCAGGCATGCTTGGGATTAAACTCTGATGACAAGGGAAGCTTCTCTGCCTTGTAGAAATTAAATTATTTTTGTTTAGTTAAAATCAGAAGAATAAGCATGGACACGCAAGGGATAAAGGTTACCTCCCGCTTCCCTGCACATTTTCACCCCAGGTTCCACGACGTCTTAAACCATGGGTATTTAATGTGTTGTTTGGCTTTGTTAGTACCTACCAGCACCTAGGCTGTGGCCTCTTCGAGGAAAGGGTTTTTCAGAATGTTAAAAAAAAAAAAGAAAGAAAGAAAAGCAAAACATGGCAATTCTCTTTAGGGGAAAACAAACAAACTTCTCGATTTAAGATGAGCTAATAGCATCAGGGTTGATTTTTAATTGTGGAAAAGACCAATTACAGAACTGGGAAGGAGATTATACCTCTGGGCTTAGAGATACAGCAAGTGAATTTTGGGACTGCACAAAACTATTTACCTAATCACCCATGTTGTAAGAAAATACAATTCGAACAGACATGCAAGCCTTGCTGAAAGACAGCTCGTCCTTTGAACAGGGCTGCAAGTGGTATTGCAGTGATATTGATGAGCCCGCTGATCAACAGCTTCCCAAGGAACCCTCAGACCCCTGCCTGTCACAGGTGGAGAATCTCTCTCTAGCTGTTACTATTCCAAATAACTTGACAACGCAAGCATGCCTTGAGTTAGGTTTGCATGAAGGGTGGAAATCAGCATCACTTAAAGTTGAATTCTGTTTAAGACTCAGAGCCAGAACTAACAGAAGTGAATGGAGAAATATAAACCACAGTTTCAGTGATTCCTTACAGGTTTTGCACTCTGAGTACACCCCTGCCCACTTCATAGCTTAAAGAGGAACCAAGCTGCCATGGGAGTGTTTGGCATCAGACATCACAGAGTGGGATCAAGACACGAAAAGCCAGGTCTAATATCTAAGACTTTTAAGAGTCTGCAATCATTTAACTGTAAACATAGGATGGCTATACTCTGAGTCTTTATATTTTAACTAATGAGATTCTATTATGAACCACTTCCTATCAGTTATTTATGACTAGCCAGGTATTCACAGAATTGTTTATTAAGCCATTAACAGATATTTACTGAGCACCTACTATATATCAGACAGTATAGTCTACTACCAGGTGTGGGCTATACCATCTAAGTTTGTGTAAGTACACCCTATGATTGCACAAGACTGAAATGGCCTAATGAGGCATTTCTCAGAACATACCCCTGTTGTTAAGTGATGCATGACTGTATAATAAATAAGCAAAGTATGTAGTGTTTTGGAAGATGACAAATACATTTTTTTTGTCTTGTTTTAAACAGGATTTATTGAGAGAACAGAAAAGCTCCCACAGTGGGAGGGGACGCGATGGGGTTACCTAGCAAATGCGGTTTTAAAAGGCAGAGTAAACCAAGGAGTTTGGGACTGCCAGGGTAAAGGGCTTTGTGATTTTTAAATAAAGTGGTCAGGGTCAGCTTCTCGGAGGAAAAAAAACCCTGAGGTTGATGGGGAAGGTCACAGTGCAGCTATCTGGGCACAGAAGAGGGCACGGCCAGGGAGCTAGGGAGAAGTGGAATGAGAACTGGGAGTTGGAGGGGTCCTGACAATGAGAGTCGTGAAGACCCCCATGAAGACTCTGGCTTCACTCTGTTCCAGTGCAACTTATTGCTGTTACTTATCAGGAGTTCTCAGGTTGGATGTTTAGTAACTGTTGGCTACCGAGAAGAGGCACTGATGAAACAGATGAACAGTATCCAAACATTCCTGTATGTGACACATGCTGTCATTTGTCATTCCTCTTTAGAAGCTCATTTTGATTTCCCACGTACCAGGTTAAAATGAAATGAAGGCGGGCTTCCAATAGGTTAGAAAATGAAAAGGAGCTTCAACCCGGCGAAGCGCGTCAAGGTCAGTCCATCCTGCCTCCTGTCGCTGTTGTCCATGTGAGGACTTCCGTTCTGGATGGCACACCTGGCTCTGCTGTGCCTGCAGCTGAGCCCAACCAAGTTCCTAAGGTCTGTGGGCAGTTAGAGGCCGTCTTTTAGACAGATATGAAACAGAAAAAACATCACCTTCATTCTGTTTAAAAATGAAATGGTCTCCAGTCTCCGAGGAAACATTTTTGCATATAATTAATGCGAGTGACTCACATTCTAAGATTTTCTTTTTCTAAAACAACTAAAAAGTACATTTATTACTTAGATTTCTGGCACAAAAAAACTCTATGTCAGAGGGCAAAGGGGTACATATTTTTGTCTTGTACTGTTATACTTATGAGGGAAATCTGCCCCCCAACCCTCCAAAAAACTGGAATTATCTTTTGGAGGGCGAGTCCCTTGTAGTATACAGGCTTCCCTTGCTAGATAAGTGTTCTAGCAATCCATCAACCTCAGTGTACTCAGCTAGCGTTGTTGTGAGAGACTGCATTCCACTTCAGTGAATTTTGTTTTGGAGATTCTTTCAACACATGTGTCCATTTCATGATGGGTGATTTACGAGTGCACCTGGACACACCGCGCTGAGTGTTCAGCAGTTTTTGAACTGTGTCCCATCCTCCCTATCACCTGATCTCACCCTAAGCAACTTTTTTGTTTCCCAGGTGAAAAAAAAACCTCAAAAAGAAACGTTTTGCTGATGTAGAAGAGGTGAAAAATAAAATAAAATAAAACAGCAGATGCACCAAA